CGATTCGGTTGCATACGAACCATATTCGAAGCTATGCACAAATGCACATAACCAGACCGTGAACTGTATGACTGACTGTGTGCATGTATGTGAGTGAGAGAGAGGAAAAGTGTAAGCCATATTTATTAGTGATGCCATATTTGGACGATTCAATAACATAAATCAAAAATTTAATCATAAAACTTTTTTCCGCCTCTGTTGTGTGCCCGTGTTTTTTTCCACGGCAATGTACTTCTTCACTCACACTTCGCTTCGTATGAAGTACCATATGCGCTTTCGTATATGTTTGCATTCACAGAGAACCGTATACATTCTCTTTTTTTGCTATTTCTCTTCTCCTCCACCATTTTTCCGCTTTCTCACACTTTTTCGGTGCATATTATTTTTTTTCTCATTCGTTTCGAATATTACATATTTTTTTGTCGCTGTGGTCAACATTTTGCCACCAAGCTTTCCCAATTTTTTACGCTATTTCGTTTGTAATTTTTGAAATATTGTGCACCAAGTAGTTTAAAATGAAACGACATAAGTTTTTTTTTCCTACTTTCATTTATCTTGTGCCATCATTATGCAAGTGAGTGAGTAAATGACAAGGGGCAGAGCAGTACTAGAGTAATTCTTCTAGTCTAAAGTAATTCTGACGTCAGAACAAATCAGGAGGAATTACTGTGAATTATTTCAGAATTACTTTGGACTAGAAGAATTACTCTAGTACTGCTCTGCCCCTTGGTAAATGAGTATGAGTAAATATGCATTTTACATGAGCCAAAGCTGTAAGCGATAGACTGGATGCATAGCGCCATAAGCGCCTGACATGTCTGATTGTTGTCTATCTTCCTCTTGCTGTGTCTGACTTTATATGGCTATGGTGCATTTATTTACTAGAGACAATTTTGTTGCTATTCAATAAACCTGCGTTTGAATATCTATTGATTTTATGTCGAAATCATCATAATCTGTACACTGTTTACTGTTAATATTAAGCGTATGACATTTTCCAATGTGCGTGCATGTGTGTGCGTGCGCCCGTTCAATCATTTGCCACATTTCGTCTGTAGTACAGACTGTACACACATACTCACTCACACATACACTCACTCACACACTGATGGATCTCCATTTATCTTTTACCGGGGCAGAAAAAGCGATGCAGTTCCGTTAAACCGGAATCATTTGCATCACATGTGGAAATTCGAATACATAAACATTCGGTTTTTCAATCAAAGTTTCGTCGCTTGCATAAACTTTGCAATGAATGCAATTCCATTCAATTGCATGTGACGTGCATATAAGCGTGGTCGAGGGGCCTGTGTGCACATACCAATTTTAATCATTGACATCATTTTAGTTGTTGGCCTTGTTATTTTTGTCTTTGGGTGCTGTTGCTGCGTTTGATGCCATTTCCGTTACTCTATTGCTGCACACACACACACACACACACACAAAGAACAACCCGTTGTTTCTGGCCATTCTGGAGCATTTGCATAAATAACTACTTGCAAAATGATTTCATTTAATTTTCGTTGCATTCCACTCTTCTGCTGCAACGATTTTTCCGTCGACTAAATAGCACGCTGCTTTTTCTGTCCCCCTTTTTCTTTCTATCTCTGTCTCTTGCTGACACTGTCTCTCTATATCGCTGTCGTCGCAATGGGACTTGCCATTAGTACTGGGTTGTATTGTGTTTTTCCGCAACTTCGATCATCAGCATACATGGTTCGCCGATAGGTTTGTCTATCGCACATATTCATTCGCATATCGCTAAAGTGGCAGCCACCACCAAAAATACTTCCGCAAGAAGAAGACTCAACTCGATTGCATTGCACATACACTTGTATATATTCATATATACCTCTGTGCAGTGACGCAGCATACCCAAAGTCAATAATAGAGCGTTGCCAGAATGAGAACGAGAGCGTAAGAAGAAAAAAAAGATATACACACACACTCCCACCAAGTGAATTCGAAGATTGTAAGTGGTTCTTTCATAACTTTGAAAGACGGATTAGTTGGAAACTTTTCAGCGAACGAAAATTCAAACATGCATTCTTACTTTAGATATTCCTTTTTTTCTCGTTCATTCGTACCCTCACTCTTATTCTAGTCTTTCTCTTCCACTGTGAGTGTATAAGAGATGAGATTCTTTTAGATATTTTCCTATCGCTTTTTTCACATTTACTTTCGTTCATCAGATCTAGTACACACACACATAATGCCGAAAAAGACGGACAAACATATCCTCAATCAAAGCCAAAGATATCCAAAATGAATGCAAACGCAGAAAAAAAGGCGATGCCAAATAATAAAGCACAAATTCAAATAGAAAAACTTTGTTGGGTTTTTTTTCTACCCAAGCCCCTGAGCACATATACATATACATTCGAAAAAAAATTTCAACATTTAATTTCCTGTACTTTACATTCGAAGCTTACTCACGGTAAAATCGACAAATAAGCGCCAATTGAACTTAAAAAAAATAGCTTGAAAAAGCAACAGCAGCAGCAGTACAGTGTTGTAGTGTAACATTGGAGCTGACGTACGCATTCATAGTGAATGATATGTGTTTTCAATTCAAATATCGCTGAATTTCGTTTCGCAATAATCTTTTTGTTCCCCCATTTCATTTCTCTCTCTCTCTCTCTCTCTCTCTCTCTTTCGCAAAATCGAAAATTGAATATTCGGTTACTTCCGATTGCAAAGTTGGTGCGCTTTTTCGAAATCGTCGATGCTCCTCATTTTTTTTTATGTACATAGACAATCATCGACAAACGATGCAAATACGAAGACGTAGTAATTGGTGTCGTTAGGCAGAAACGCAGATTATATTTAGAGAATGAGTGGCATTCGGTAGAATAAACATGAAAAGTTTTTTGCCTGGAATGTATTTTTATGCGGTGTGGAAAAATACTGAAATCCATTGAAAAATGAACAGGAAAAAAAAAGCGAAAGCGACAGGCCCAGAGAGGACAGAGTGAGAGAAAGATGAAAGTATGGGTGTGTGTGTATGTGTGGGCGGAGGAGTGTGTCGGCTTTTTAAAATGGCATGTAGTGGATGATGATGTGTCTGGAAATGGCATCGATTCAATGTTTGATGAGGTCTTCATAATGAAGTTTATTCCATCGTATTTGGCTTATGCAAAGGATTAAATATACTCTATCAGTTCTCGTCGTTTTTTTTCTTCCGTTCGAAGATTATGATTTCGCTGTGTGAGTTTGTCTGCACTTTTGCGTCAGATTTCATAATCTTTTTCGATTGAATGAGAGAAAATTTCCGCCGAAATGCCGGATATTGCCTTATCCATATGGAAAACTAAAGGAACACAGTTGAGATTTATTTTTAATTAAAAATGTCCGGTAAATGAAAAATGTGTGCGCATGAAGTTGAACGACACCCAAAATGTTGAATCACTCAACTGCGTCAAACGCAATTATTTATATGACTGATTTTGTTGAATAGTTGGCCTGTGGGAGCACGTGGCCCAACTCCATCGCTCGACACACACACACACACACAAACATTCTCTCTGTTTCTGGAATGTTTGTATGTAGTCATGGGCCATATCGTTAGTCGTCGCAATTCATTCCATTCAAATTGGAACAGATTAACCAAATGGAGTCACCATTTTAATTGAATCGACCCGTAAATTATCATCACAACATTTTTATTTATATCGTTCGAAAGCTCATGCTCTCTACCATATTCCACCTTCTCTTGTTCCCCCCCCCCCTCTCTCTCTCTCTCTATCTATCTGTTTCTCACATACACATACGTTGCCGCTCATTCTCGCAAAGGTCAAACTGAAAATGCCATACCGCTGCGTATGACATACCGAACTTCCGAAATTGCCGACTAACTAGAGAACTAGACACAATTTTGTCATTAAGGCCAAAGCTGTATGTTTCTCGCTGCATGAACAATTTCCAATTCAACCATATCGAAATCGGTCTGCTCAAAGATTTATGATGCGGCAAACGTGGCACAAAACTTCAATTGGTTTATAAATTTGAATTCAAATTTAGTGAATAATTCAAATTCGATTCGTAACACGGATAATAATAATTGATCGAAAACGAAAATAGTTGAAAAGTTGTTGAGCATTTTTCGGCCCCGTATACAATCTATTGCCACCAATATTAATGCCATACGACCAACCTCGAGTACAATTCAAGTATATTCGGCGTGTGTATGTGTGGCAATGGCATTATCCTGGTGCGACTACACCCATAACAAAATATAAACTTCTCGTTGTTATTATTTTGTATTTATGCTGTTGTTCCAAAGTTTTCATATCTGCTTTGTTATCGTTTAACTTTTCATTACCCCTTCAGCAGCCTCGTATCCATCCGATTTCGTGTACGTTCATTCGTTCGTTCGTTCGTTTTTATACGTACGATTCGAATCAAAATGCTTATACAATTTGCATTTTTTGTCGCCTTTTGCTTAACACACTCATTTACATTTCCTAAGCACATTTTGCAACAACATTCTCACAAAACTCACCGGTATACCGAGCAAGAATCATTTGGCGTCAAATGCCTACCGCTTTCGTAACCATGATGCGGAGCCAAAGTAAACGTAATGAATGTGAAATGTCGCTAGAACAAAAAACGTCGAATAGACGCAGAAACGAATGAATGTTCAATTCAAATATGACTTCCGTATGACGAAGCCAAAAAATTACAGAAAATGAAATAAATTATTTCTAAAACAACAATCATCGCAATCATCGGCAAACAGTTTATTTTCCAATGTTTTTCTTTTGATTGTGCCGAGAAATGGTACTCGGTGATGAAAAACCCAGATAAATTATAAATTAAAATTTTCTATTAAATGTTAAGATTTCGCACACGCACGCAAACACACACACACACACACACACACACACACTCGATGCGATCAGTGCGATGTGGGTGAGTGTGCGCGCGGGTACCGAGTGACAGATTTTCATTCATGGCAATTCTAAAACTTTTGTTTTGTTCATCTTTTTGCCGTTTTACAGGAGCGAATCACCGCTGAGCATGGAACAATGGCACATCATTCGAATCTCACGAACGGCTCGTTTGGCAGTTATGAAAGTAAGTACAGTATACATATATTTGCTTGTAAACTGTTTGATTGTGATTGCTCAAGTATTTGTTAATAACAACATTTGCAATTATACCGGCACATAAATCTCTAATGTTTTTCCAATTGTTTATTCAATGCCATTGTTGCCGATGTGGCATAGTGTTTGAGCGCCTCTCGTTGTTCGGTAACAAATTTCCCATTTCAAGCAAAAGTTTAATAGCGCATTTGGCGAAATCGTTTTTCCGAGTTTCCAACAAGTGCCCAATTAAAACAGCGCAATAGAGGGTGGAGAGAAGGAAAGAGAGGGAGAGAAAGGAATTGAAAAACAAACAAAAATCATTTCCATTTGACGATCGTGTATTTTCGTTAGAAATTGAATCTCTGACATTGGATGTCAAATCCATTCAATTGACTTTCCTTCTTGCCACTCTCTTGCCACTCTCGCTCGCCCACTTTCACCGTTATCCATTTTTGTGTTCGCTCCATTTCCACGAACTTTTCTCGATGATATAAAACCTTTTTTTTTTCGAAAAAAGGATTTGCTATAATTGAATTGATTTCAATATTTTATGAGTATATTTAAAATGCTTTAACTTTTTCATTTGATAGGGGCAATCAACAATCAATTACTGAGTACTAAGCATGATATCCGTCACTTCGTTTCAACTGTCCAACTTATTATCATTTGGCAGCCAATAACATAAACTGACAAACAGTACCTTTTTTTGCTAGCCATCGAATTTAGTACATTATGGTTGTTTTCTTTTTCATTGCATCTTCAGATTTTTCTTTCTTATTCTCTGTAATTTCTTATTTGCTCGTGTTCATAGCATTGATCCCGTTTGATAAAAACCAATATTTCAGTTTAAAATTCAATTCATATTAACGCAAGAAAAAACAACTTATCCATTTCTCTTTCTTTTTATTTCATCAGATCGATCAGCTCTCCGAAGTTATGACAGTGTCACCAAATGGCTTTTGGCATTTATCGTTACCACACAGCTTGTATTTGGGTGGATCGAACAACGCACAATATTTACCACTAAACCTCAAGGAACTTGGCTCGTTTGTGGGATGCATACAAAAAGTAAGATGCAAACTTAGTCTCTTCGTCATCTCCGTCGTGTTGGTGGCAATTTCTTTTTTGTTTCGCTACTCTCACTCTCTGTCTCCCGTTTCCCTTTGTTTTTGCGTTACTAAGCGAATGCAAACACTATGGTAGACTGTGTGCTCGGCCTGCTGTGCATTCCGAAAATACAAAGAGAAAAAAAACTGAGTGTAATCCCAAATTGTGTTTAAATAAAAGTTTACTGCAGCAGCAACCACTGCCGCCGCCGTCCGACATCGCTGTCTCGGTGCTGTTCTATTTATGGGTAGCCCCTTGTTTGCAATATTTCATTTTGCCGTCACAAAATCCACATTAAATGTGAGAGTTAATTTTGTTGAGATTAAAATTGCAATCTTTCATCGAAGCACGACATCGAAATCGATTTTACTGCACACCGCAAAGAGACGGCGAAAAAAAAATCAGTTGACATCCATCTGATGCAAATCATAGAAATTACCGCAGCCAAGTCAAAAACAAACATAAAAAGAAACAATTTCCTATTCAATGGAAGCAAAAAAAAAACTCAATCCAAACTAAGAGACGAGGGGAAGGGGTTGCAAAAAATAAAGTCAGAGCTGAATGAGTTTGTGAGCAAGATGAAACCAAACAGATTTATGGATTGTAACAAAAAGCTAACCAACTCTCACACTGAACTCTCAACTCGCATAACATTTGTTATGCAGCATCGGAGCAAAGTCAATGTAACACATTTAATATATGTTTGTAACCAATGTAATAGCTATAAACCATTTTCACATATGTCTGAATGTGTTATGTGTGTGTGTGTGTAAGTTACTTTATCTCTATGCTAAATGTTCGCACGGATACAGTAACACACACACACACACACACACACGCGCGAACACATGAACACGCATACTCATCGCTTGCTCGTAAACGAAGTGGTTTTGTGTGTGCATACGCGAGAAAGAGAGCTTTTATGTCATGAATATACCCATACGAAATTTACATTCCATCTTATTTAAAGCATTTAGAAAGGCGTTTAAATTTAAGAAAAGAAAATAATGGCTTTGCTACATGTGAACGCGACATCGAGACAAAACCGAATTCTCTCTCTCTCTCTCTCTCGCCGCTTATCCACACATGAAACGTTGCCATCGCTGTCGTAGACAAGATCTACCCACGGACATCAAGCCAACGAGACAGAGAGGGAAAAAAAATTTAAAGTGAAATAACAAGAGCTTAAAGTATTTACAATATCGCATATCTCAGTCAGAGTAAAAATCGGCTATGTGTGTAGAAGTTTTATTTCTCTCCTAAATATCATGCGACGTTTTATACGTGAGACAGAAACGATGTGCAATGCAATGAGAGATTCCAAACGTTCTCAGCACTGTGTTAGCAAGAGCAAGAGTAAGAGCAAGAACAAGCAGAAGATGATGAAGAAGAAGAAGAAGAAGAACAAGTGGGAAAAAACGAAGAACGGCATTGAGCACTAAACTTTATGGTTTTATCAAAATTGAACTGAAATATGTGTTCTGAGTAATAAACCTGAAGAAATGAGGAATCTTTCTCACCACTCAGCCTCTCATTGGCTTGGATATTCGTTGTTTTTCGCTTAACTCGTTGCGTGTGTATGTGTGTAGGGATAGGATGGTTTTTGTTGCTACTTTATTTGCCGTTTTCACTTCTGTTAACTTGCATACTATTTCGTTGATTTTATGCCATAAAGATCGACTTTGGGATTTTCTTATATTTGAACATTTCGATTAAAATATGAGCCATCATCTACCGTACGTATTTTGATGTGGCAATGAGAGCACGAAACCCCTATTCAATATACACGCACAGACGGCGCAATAAACAAACATGTCAATTATTTCAATAATTTGGTTCGAGATTTTACTGAATTAAACAATAAATCACGTGTGCACCAATTAGGGATGGAAGCCTTTATGTTCACTCTTACTCTCCATGTTTCACTTTTGCTAAAATCAAATGCCAAACATGGATTCTGCTTTGCAAAATGGGAAAAGGCAAGGCAGGCGTTTGCAGCTGTTAGAAACAATTTTTTTGGGCACAGCTGCACCACTTGATTTGGCCTGCTTCATATTTTTGGTTTTATTAGGCCGGCTTTTATTATTGCGTGTGTGTGTATATATATTCAAAAACAATTTTTTTTATTCTTCACGAAATTTGATCCAATCCCCATCAAAAGAGACAATGAAAACTTTTTGGTCTCGCTTGTTAGATGGAATGAGTGCGGTTTAACCAAAGTCAGGATGGAATTTTCAAGTTATTTTTTTGTTATATCATTTAATTGTATGCCGAATAAAAGTTTAATTTAGTTTGGAATGTATCATAAATGTGGAAAAAGGATTTTGGAAAACTTTTGCACGCATCACTAAAATTTTCGGAATCTCAAAACCGAATCCAGTTTGGATTTTGACAGTTGCTCATTAAAGCTCTGAACGTGTATTCGTATGTATTATAGTATATAGTGAACGTTTCGATACACTGAGCAATGTTCGAGCCAGTAGCGATATAATTTTCTCTCTCTCTCTCTCTCTCTCTCTCTCTCTCTCTCTCGCACACGCTTGCTCGCTGTGGAGAACCAGATCTCTATCGCAGTGAGTGTAGTTTGTGAGTGGGCTTGTGTTCGCAAATCGTTTCTCTTGTCGTACGTAAATCGATATAAATTACAAAATTAGTTTGACTTTGTTCTTTTGATGCAACGAAGAGATAATCAAGTTCTGAAGCACTTCGAAATGCCCACGAATGTTGCATCCATTCTGTTTTGGCCCATGATAGAAAGGCCAAGTAAAGGGCAAACTGTTTAATTTGATTGACGTACTTTCGGAGTGAGATAGCCGAGCATCATTCAATTTTCTGAATCTTTCCGTACACCATTAATACGGGCGTTTCTCTGGTGAATGGAGAGCAAAGCGGAACACAGCTCATCGAATGAGCAAGGCGAATCCCTTTATTCATGCAGCATATTACAAAGAAGTGTAATTGGGTCACTCAATCTCGTTCTCACTCTTTTCCATTTCAGACGAGAGTGTCTCTCTCTCTGTCTCTCAAAGCGTTTCCTCATTCGAATCGATTGTTCTTTGATAAAACATGTAATTTACGGATTTTCTTATTTATGTTGTGTGCATTTTCCGTTTTATAGTTGGAAGTAAATGGTCGATCGATAGCCATTATATCGGAGGCGGTTGGCGGCACAAATGTTGATAATTGTCTGCACTCATGTACGAGCAAACCATGCGGACCATTAGCTCAATGCGTACCAAATTTGGAGAGCTACGAATGCCAATGCAACCCATCGAATTTGCAATGCAATAAAGCCGAAGAGTTGTCATCGGTGCAACAAACTCGTTCAAGCCTAACATCGTTTAATTTCACTGGTGTTTCGGACAATCGCTCAAGCATTCCTGCAAACGACAAGAATGCACTTGACTCAACATTGACGACAACATTGGCATGGGCAACGGCAGCTGTACCGAACTCAATCACAGCATCGACACAGGTCCAAACCAATTTGCATGAGGTGGAGAAAACAGAAGCAGTAGCAACAGCAGCAGCAGCCAAATCAGCAATGGCACAACCACCACCACCACCACCACCAACAATTGCTAATGACCGACGCAAATACAATGATAAAGTCATTGCTACTCTCGGCTTATCAGATACAACTTTGTATACAAAATCACCCGTGCTACAATTAAGTGACCCACATGCAAAATCCGATAGAATGATGGTAACTCAAGATCACAGCGATAATAAACGCAATAACAACGAAAATGCCGAATCTTATAGTGGCATGGCATCGGGCATGGGCAATGCAAAAGATTCAGAGGGTGCCACTGATTATTATTATTATTATGATGATGATTACGAATTTGACGATTCGACGTCCGATGCTGTTGTGAACATACGCACCACACCATCAAGTCTAGCAATGGCAACAACAGCTACAACGATGACAACAACAGCGAAACCAACGACGACAACCACAACAATCTCAACGACCGCCAAACAATTGACGGCTAAACCAATGGGTATCTCGACCGATGATGATGTTACTCGGATATTTGGGCGCTACATGTCCATTGACATGGAAAAATTACTGAAAAAGGAAGAAATGATGAAAAATAAAAAATTGAAAAATCTCCACAACAAAAGCGTAAAACCGCCGAAAAAGCATTACATTCCGATGCCATTGCTCGAACCACAATCACCATCGTTGGTTGACGATGAGGTCGAAATAGATATTATGCTGCCGACCACCAAAAATGATCAGCCAACGACAACAGTGAAAGCGGCAATTGAAAGTGAAAAGCAGCAAACGACAAACGATAAATCGACCAATGCCAACGACCAGCATACAACTAGCACCAGTACGGATGCCAGCATCAGCGCTGCCATTGCCGCCGCCGATGATGACGATGACGACAACGATGATGATGAAATGAGCGGTGAATTCGATGTGATGGGCTTCTATTCGAACGAAGATGTACTCACAACCAAAGAATTGATTGACGATATGGCGCGCATCATGAAAAATGGGGCCGAAATTCGACGCAATCAAATGAACCACAAAACAAAATACGTGCGAAAAAGTCATGGAGCTTGTTTCACTGGAGCTGATAGGTACATATTGCAATCAAACAACGAATAATTAGATTAATCAATTTGCCAGAAGAGCATACACACAATGAGGCAAAAAAAAATCAACCATAATTTACGTTTGTTTTTCATTCTCTCCCTCCCTCCCTCTCTCTCTCTCACTCTTCTTTGTTGCAGCTACTTCCATTACAATGATGCTGAAACGATGAAACAAATCATAAGTTACAAAATCGATTTGAATCTACGATTCAAAACACACTCACATAATGGATTAATTTTATGGACGGGCCGACATACAGCCCAGGTGGACGACGATTATCTACTGCTCGGAATTGAAAATGGGTAAGTTCATGGCTCCATATGCTCACCGACGATAACCGAAAACAGATTTCACTCTGCTCGTGCTAAATGTGCTATACATGTATCTGGTTTTATCAATACACGATTCGAACGGAATTTTCACAAAATGTATCTTTAATTTACAATCATTACAGGTACCTGCACTTTAGATACAATCTCGGTTCGGGTGAAGTCAACATCGTTTATAACACGACCAAAGTAAGCGACGGGCTGTGGCATCGAATCAGAATACTAAGGTAAATAGATTACGAATCTGGTTTGTGTGCATGTGTGTGTGTGCGTATGTGTGTTTTCGTGTGTATGCGATATAGAAAAGCTCTCTAGCAAAAATTGCCCGAGCAATCATCGAAAAGTTATGCGACTGCATGTGATTAAGTGGCATAAATCAGTGGCATGGAATGAGTTTATTTATCGCATCTAATTAATTCAATTGAATTTGATAGGAATTTGCAAGACGGTTCAATCGAAGTTGACGGCGGAGTGGAGGTGAGCAAGCGATCTCCTGGCAAATTGCGACAATTAAATACAGATACAGGACTTTATGTTGGTGAGTTAAATATTTGTGAATTTATTTGTGGCATTATTGCCATTTGCCCCGGCAAAATGCATACATGTGCCGAAATAAATTGAAATATATGCGATGGCATACACATCTAAAGCTCGACAATTATTTTCAACCCGCAGGTGGAATGCCAGACATTATGTATTATACAAGCAGACGCTATTATTCCGGCATTATTGGTTGCATATCGGAAATCGTGTTGGGCGGTGAATTGAAGCTTAGCCTCGATCCAGAGACACTTGGACTTGCACACAATGTGGAACCGGGCTACTTTTGAACAACAACAACACAATCAAACTGAAACCAATTCAATGCGACAAACATTCCAATAGTCATAAGGAAATAATCGTCAATCTACTAAAAACAAAACAAAAACCAACAAAAAAAAATCATGCGAAAATCAAATTAAGACTCACAACGTTAGGGTGATACATACGTGCTTATGTAAGGTAGAAGATTCCGTATAAGACACGGAAATAAGCCATCGAAAATCAGTCGATCGAACAAATAGATTAACATTGATTCGCCCATACAAAACAGCAACAAGAACATAACACCCCAAAACCCAGATATAATTAAAGTAAGACAAGAGACATGTGTAAAAGTCAAAACAGACATATATACAGTGAGAGAGATAGGGGCAAATGGAAGCAAAGGTGCTCCGGAAGCAATTGCAACACTGAAAACCAAATACAAGAGTTTAAAAATAAATGATGAGAGAAAATATACAATAATTGCCATTCAACAAGAATGGACATGTGAATGGAAAACGGTAGTTGATCTGATAAATGATTTTAGATAGATTTAAGTGAGAGAAGATTAAGAAGAGAACATAAAAACAAATACTTTACACACTGACACAAAAACCTTAATTCTAATAAGTATATTTGATTTTTGTTTCGCCGAACAAAAGCTAAGGAGTATATAGTTAAATATTAAAAAAGAAGAAGAAGAAGATATTATTTCAAAAGAAATTGTATTCTCACACAAATGAAGACCCACATTTTGTGACAACAAAGCGATTGCATATTCGCAGTTTTCATTCACAAACAACAAAATAAAACTCATTGATTTTTGTTTTGTTAAGGTAGACATAAGACGTAATTAGTTGCTAAGGTTAAACTGAGGTCAATTGAACAACAAATCAACTAATGCTTTTTGTGATTGCGATCGCAACGGGCAAACATTACTACACGGACAAAATGGTTCAAAGAGAAAATGGTGAGAATGTGAAAAGCAAGTAGTTCAACACAAACAATAAAATTGATAGAGCAACGATTCTATGTAAAATTATATATCGATATTGAGAGAGCAAGTGTGAGAAAAAGTGTGGCTGCATAAGAAATTTAGTTTAGTTTAGAGTTATAAATTAGTCTATATAAATGTGTGTGAGTATGACAAGAAAAAAAAACATATTTACAAGGGAAAAATGTAGGCAATAGTTGACTGAAACAACAACAAACGGTTTTTTATGCGTGTGTTTTGAACATTATCATTTGATATCATCCAAAAAGCAAATTACCTTTGAATTCTCATATCATTGACAACACTATCCGTGTCTATCGCAATATATTCTCCAAATAGATGTCTTTGTAAATTCAGCATAAATTCGCACCGAACTGATTTACCCAATTAATCATTATTAACAATCAAAACCAAGAAGAAGTGAAACGGGGAGCCGAACAGCAGGAGAAGAAGTGGAAATCGAACAAATGAACAATACTTAAATAGAAACCGATTTTATATATATACACACACATATGAATATTTCATTCGTTTCGTTTCATATCCGATAATTTTGCATATCTGAAATAATTTATCATGAACTAAACATGGAATTGAAGTCTATTAGATGAATCGTTCACTTTAGTTCGCCTTCTTTCTGTTTAACTTAGTGACGAAACCATGAAAATGTTATATGAACAGGGTTACAACAACAACAACAACAAAAGAAACTATTGAACACGTGAATGTACGATTTGTGTAATTCATCGCATTTGAATTCGTTGTCGTTCATCAGTCTAAATCAACTAAAAATACAATACACAAATCTATTTATACACATATTGAGTTGGATTCATTTTCTGGGCAAAAACTTATACACCTATACACGGCAAGAGCTTCTTCGTAATTTAGATTATCGTCAATTCGACATCACTGGATTTTATGTACATATTGTAGCAAATTAGATTATTTGATTCAATATCCACACAAGCAGCACAGACACACCACAACACACACACACATACATTCACACAAAGAAAATCAAAAAGCATCTCGTCTGATAGGTTCCTTTAATCCTAATTGATTATTGTAATTTTATCTACAGATACTTTAAATATCTATCTAATAGTCGTATTAAGAACATTGGTTCGTGCACATTGAGTTTGTTTATTATCAACACGATTCAGTTCAATGTTTGAATAGAAACTTTTCAAACTGGACAACAATTAGTCTAAAATGCAAAGCTCTAAAAACAATCAGAAAACTTACAAACAAATGAAAAGTTGAAAAAAAAACACAAACAATTCGTATAGATTACGTGAATACGCATGTTTAGCCACAATAAATATTGATAGACCATTTTTGTACAATGTAAAAAAAATTACCACCAATCAATGTGAATGTACAAACAAAAGAGAAACGAAATTGATGATTAGATGTTAGCAATGAACTGCTTTTCACTTGCAAATTTTGAATATCGTACCGAACTAAAATACACGTATTTGTCATTCAAAACTGTTGATTTTTTAGATTTGCAGAAGTAAAACAAGCAAACGAAATCAAATCAACCGCAATCAGTTATTATGGAATAATTTTTAAATCCGCGACAATTAATCAACCGTCTAAATCCAAAATGAGAACAAAAATAACAAGGACACACACACACATAACAATCATTTGAGTTATCGAAATACAAATAAGATGAAATGATGAATCATTTTTCCCATTTATTTTTACACATACATTCACCGTTAGGCACATAAGTGTTTTTTCATCGTCAAAAGACATAGAGCCACAATTTCCTTTCGCTACCAATTAAGATTCATGCTGAATGAATTCATGTTGATGTCTATTCAATGGCAAACACACACACACACACGGCAAACATATTTTCCGTTTGCTTATTCAAATTTTCTTTTTTGTTTGTTTCACACAGAAAAAGAAGAAAACACAAGAGCATTCGATCAGATCACTGTGTCCACTCTGCGTAGCAAACACGTTTATTTTTAAGATAAATAGAAAAATTATACACAACAACAAAATTAAGGCAACTGTGTGGAAAATAAAAGCAAAGTGAAGTCAGTGTTAGCAAATAAGTTAAATAAATTAATTTAAAATGTAATGAGAAATGCGTTTTTCTAGTTTGTTGATCTCTGTTTTTTCAGCCGAGGAAGTAATGCAGAATGCAGAAGTCCAACAGCTTTTCAACAGATGGCGTGTTCGATCAAAACTAGAAAAATACTTGCACAAGCACACAAGATTCTTACTAGATTTCAATCTGTATTGTCGTATTTTCCGGTTTTGCACACTCGGAGACCAATTCAGTGGAGAATTCTTGTTGAAATACATAACTTATTTTTCGGAAATTCGGCGAGTAATACAAACTGAGTCGGTTTCAAGTAATACAATTCTGGCCAAATGATTTCGGTTCATTTTATTGTTTTTTATCACAAACTCCAAGTGCATGAATACTCAGAATATAGGTTTGTGTCTTGACTACACTTGTAAAAAGTACTTAATTTAATTGAATTGAAATAAAAAATCTATATTTAGATCTATTATTCTGAGCCCATATTGAAATCGACCCAGTTCGAATAAAATTCAATTTTCACAATTCGGAATTATTCCAACAATTTTCCCAAGCAAAAAACTCTAATTTCAAGCCGTGTATCATTCCGGACAATACAATGGTTGTTGTTTTCTTTTAGTACATGTTATGTACTTATCACATTTGACGTTAGTACTTTCATTGCAAACACGCACACACACACATGATTTTGACACAATCAAAACACTCATATCTTTTCTAAAATTGGTCGAACAAAAAAAAAATATACGTCAAAAAGTTGAATTATGTTTTGATTGTTTCGCTTGGAAAAAAAATTAGTATTTTTTCTTTCGTTTTGACATTGTTTGCAGATAAAGCGAAGAAATTGAATAAAGCAACCCATTGATTGGTGTAATTTAAAACAGTGTCTAGAAAAGTTATTTGTCGCAACAATTTGTGCAAAATTTCGTCGAAAGAAGTATAGAAAGAGAAAAAAAAAATCACACACGATAGCGATAGATCAAACAAATACTTCCAGAAAACAGGTAATTTCCATGCAATTCGAAAAGTGAGATAGTGGGAAAGAGAAAGAGAGAGAGAGAGAGAGAGCGAAATCGGATCAAATGTTGTGAAGTTTCAATTTATATCAGCGTTCAATTTGAATTGATCGCAGAGAAGAAGAAAAACTGCACGAAAAAAAAACAAAAAAAAAAATCTTGGACGCAACCGAGTGCCGAATTGTTTCACAATTTTGAAAGTGTATGCGATCTTATTTGACGGTGAATTGTGTTTGAAACAGATGAAAAAAAAACTAACCAGCGCTTCGTTTTAGTGTCAAGTATGAATATTGCAGTGCTTTAACATCACTGGTAATCTAGATTTAGAACCGTACAAAGAACAACTGAACACCGAAGAGAGTAGCAAATGTATTGTCATTTGGATTGCGTTGGTCGTAACAATATGCAAGGTTATAAAACCAAAAAGAACAGACAGTTATCTAATGGCATATCGGAGGCAAACTTGCAATCAAAATTGGAATGCATTCCATTTGAACCATAGATATAGACGTGCACAGACGAGCGTGTCTCTCTCTCTTCTTATCAGAATGAAATTGAACGCAAACACAGTGAAGGAGAAGAAAGAAAAAAAGACAACAACAACAACAACCACATGAAAAAAAAAATTATAGACAATTGAATTTGCATTCTTTAAGTTATTTTTGGCCGTGTTGTTTTGTTATCGTAAATGTGCGCGTGAATAATTGTGATTCAATCAATAATAACAAACAGCGCTTAATGCGAACAGCTCATTGACTTGTCACCACTTTTATATTATGTCTGTTTTTCCGTACGGCATTTGCACTGTTCCCTTTTGTTGTTTCATTCGTTCCTGTTCCAATCATTTCCAATTCAATTATAAAAAAAAGTCATAAATTTGAATTGCAAAAAGAATATAACAACAGCCGGGAAAAGAAATCCGCACAAACACACAATCATACATGAAGTGAGGAGGAATAATGCCTTACAACAATGCTATGCATTAGAAAACGAAACAACGCGCGATTACCCGATAAAAAGGCAAAGATAATAATAATTCGATTGAATAGTTGTTCTCTTTTCAGTTTGAATAAAAATGCTTGGATGAGGGATTTGGCTGAATAGAGAAAGAAAGAACAAAAAAAAGTTATAATGAAGCACACATATGACAAATGAATGCCTGAGAATAAATGTAATTTCTGTAGTATTCGCAGAGCAAAACGACACAAAAATGATTCGCATTTCAAAGCGACACAAAATTCTGTTATCCGGTCAATACGACGCATAGAATTAGTATTTACACACTGTCTGTGTTCCGCTTTGTTCTGAGGACACGACAGCGTGTCGCTTGGTTCGAGTAACCAAATATTGTGTCGTTTTGAAATGCGACGCACATCCATTGCTCATATTGAACCGATAACTGAACATGGGAAGTTTGTATGAAAACCTCGGAGCGCCGCTGGTATTGCATTGGCTTCTATGGCCAAATGTACACATGGAAATATCTCGAAAACGGCTGGGTTAATTGGCAAAACGGACCGTGATGTCACTCCCAAAGGGAGTGTAAACACCCGGCTGGTTTGACGGCCTAGAATACAAATCCGGTGGAATTTGGGCTGATCCATGGATTATCAGGATTCGACCTGATTCTAGCACTTCAATTTCTTTCATAACAAAA